CTCACAAAGCTTGAAAAGAAAACGCAGGAAACGTAATTATGTGTGTTTATGTGCATAAAACTGAGAATGTTGCTGTAGCTGGCAAGCACAAAATAAGTAATAATGATAAAGGAACAAAGTTTCAAATAAATTCATCTTCTCACACGCTCTCCTACCTAAAGAAATACATTTAAAATGAAGACAGATCTGAAACACGCAGCCCATACAGTGCACCATCTGTATCCGTCATTGTTTTAAGTGACTGAATTACACCTACGATGCTGATGCGTTGTAAACTACAATGCAAACTGTTTTGTCATCCATCTCAGGGTGTGACAAGCACTTAAATGCAGTAAACTATTTAGTTAATGGCTCACCTGCAGAGCGGACACGCAGTGAGTGGAAAGTAGGTTTATTGGTCTTCTCAACGTCAACTTCAAGGGAATTGATCCAAACTTTTCAACACTGCTCTTGTTAAAAAAAAATAAAAAAAAAATCCAACATCCACAGTGCATTACCTTAATGTATTAAAGTCACTTTACACCCCACTTTTATATCATGACGTGCTTCAAGGAAGGGCAAAAATAAGACCCCAGGCAGTGAGCTGCACTCTACTCTGTGAACAGAGGATATGAATGATATCAATCAGTGAAAAATCCTGCAATGGCTAGTGGGTGTCCTTCTTAACTGACAAGATTATAGGAGAGCTTTGAAGCTGCGTTTATTGGTTTCTCCACTTCATTCGAGTTTACTTAGCACCTGGGAGCTTTCATATGAGCACACTACTAAACTAAAAAAACATTTACAGCCTCCTGAGCATTTTTTTGCTTATTTATTTGTCTCCTTCTCCGTCTGCCCTGTATTAATAATAAGAAGTGTGATTGATCTGCGAGCATCAACAGTGGTAAAAAGGATGTGTTTAAAAGCCATGAAAGAAGATGACAAAGATGCCGTTTAAAAATGTCTGCCCTACTTCTCCGAATGCCCCGCCTAAACCAAATCTTCGATTGCTTTCGAATGATGACCACCTCTCTGGTGGTGTAAATGGGCTATTTGGGTCCATTTGGGACCTGACTAATACACAGCTGCAGAAGGGTATTTTTGTGAAAAATACGCTCAACAGCAAACTAAAGGGGGCAGCAATATCAAGGACTTGGGTGGTTGGTTGGACAGAGCACCTGGAAGTACAGACAGAGTAGGAGGGACAATAAGGGTTGTATGGTTTAGGTTTTTGAAGGAGAGCAGTTGTAGGAGGAGGTATTACAGGTATTACATATAAACAGTGGGGGGTCAAAATGTGAGAGCTGCCCCTGTGGTGAGATTCTGCACTCCTTTTAGGGGTCTGTGATAAAAACGTGATGTACGGGTAGGGGGTGATGGGGGAGAAGGGAGGAAGCGGGACCCCCTGCTTTGCAGGTCAGTTGTTCATGCAGTGAGACAATGGCGTGCACCACCTGCCTACACCGCAATGCCCCCCCTGCTGCCTGAAAGAACCCTTCCCATCTGCAAACTGGAAACAGCTTGTGCATTTGTGAAAAATCTCTCAATTTCCCATAAAGTATGTGGACGTACAGAATACTTTTTCAGTCTTTTATGGGTGGCAGTGAGTGTGTGCCTTGGGTGCATGACAGCACAAACATGTGGTGGGATAGTGATGAGAAAAGAAAACAGAGAAGACATTCCTTAATTGCCTTTTCAGTCATTAACAGGGTCCCACACCTCATGAAACATTAATTACATTGAGCACTGCAGAGATAGGGATGCTTAATTAGAAATTATTCACTTCGTAGCGAGAACTGAGCGATAGCATTTCAGCGGTGTGTAAATTGTCTGTGTGAGATCTAAAATGAGAACAGCAACAAACTGTGCGGGTGCCACGCTTATCTGGTTTCCTCTCACTTGCTTGTCTTATGAAGTGAGCTTCCCCTTTTACCTGATAGCAAGTGGAGTGAAGTAGGACATGTGTTAAAACGCCGTTCTCCTCCCATGTTTGCGCTCCCACCCCCACCCCCATCCCATTTCACCCCCTGTAGCTCGCGTGGCTCTTACCTTTTCTGTGCCTCCTGTGCACCTCATAAATTATTTACGCCACCCTGCACTTACCCCTACATTTGGGATGCAATTGACACAGAGAATATGCCAATTACCCTAACATCTGGGATGGACTGATTAGAACATCTTTCTCACCCTTAGTCCTTCGCCTTTACACCCTCCGTCTTTTTATAGCACCATCTACAGTACAGTCTACCTTTTATTTCTGTACTGAGATCTAAAAGCCAGGTTATTGATATGACATTAACACTCCAGATTGAAAATACCCTTGACAACGTTGCCCCCACATCGCTGTTCCAGACGTTTCCCCTAATCCCCTGTACAACTTGAAAAATGGTCTGCTCCTCCCTCTCATCCCAAGTGTATTGATCTTGCCGTCCACAAAACGATTGCCACAACATTTTTGTTTGCCAGGAATGCTACTCCTGGAGGTCTGTGTGGGATGTCCTTCCTGTTACAAGCTCACACAATGGAGTGGTAACAATGCCAGTAGACTGTACCAAAGGTAATGGATTGGCCTCACTGTTACGTGCAGAGTACAATGCTGGCTTTGGGAAATGTCACACGCATATCAGAGCGTGGGTGAATTTCACTAAGAGTTAACAGCAGGGGATTTCTGTGGTATAGACACCCCAAAATTAATTAGAGACAAGTCCATTAAGACCAACAATGAGAGCAGTGATGGTGGAAGCTGAATTTAAATGTCTGGTGATGCACAATTGTGAAAGAATTTTGACAAAATTCTGCTAAACTGACTTCATCTCCCTCTTTGAAATAAATACAGAGGGAAAATATGTGTGATCATAAATTACTTCTAATGTGCCCTTTTCCTGACATTGATATAATAACATAAAAGTAAAAATACTTTGCAAACTAACCTTTGTCTTCTATGTTTTATCATTTATGCTATCTTGCATAATCAGCCATTTATGTTGTAGTTAAGGAAATCCATTCTGCCTGAGCACAGTCTGAACCAAAAGGTCTACCAGCCATTGTGCTGCATGTAGAACACTGGAGGAACCAATCTTGGCTTCTATTCGGGTAGCGCTTCAGTTTTTAGTTGTTTTTGCACTGTCAGGAAGGAAATGAGACACTAACATACTCCAAGAGAATTTAGTGAAATCCAGGTGAAAAACACAAGTAAGGCCGGTTCGAAGAAGATTGCTCATGAAACAAGCTGGGAGCCTGTGGCGTCTGGCCAAACCAATGTTCAGCCAGGTTAGAAGGCAATCCTCCACTAACACACCGCAGAAGTGCCAGGCTAGCTTGGCCCAGAGACCAAGACCTCCTGGGACAGAGCTAGATGCCGAAGCCAGCAGCTTCCAGAATGTTAAAGAGTGAGAAAGACCAATCAGTGTTGGTCATTGCTCAGTGTCACAGTATAGTGCAGGGCGTATGCAAACATACCGATTATTATAAGTAATTTTCCAGTCACAGACTTTCAAAATCTTTTTTTTTTAATCAAGTCAAGAGCTTCTCGTTGGATGTGGTTTCTCCTGACTGATAAAATTTAGGGGACTATGTACTAATATTACTAATATTTTCTCCTGACAATGGCTAAGCACCAATTACGTCATCTTTAAAAATCCTTTACTAGATTACTGACAGAAAATATACATTTAAAAGAGTTTAGTACTCTAAACTCTCGAGGCTCCAAAACACCCCTGCTTAGCATACAGCGACAGGGAAGGCAGGTGTCAGCTGCTGCTGGTCTGAGCCAGAAAAGTATATTCATAGGTCCCCACTGGGGTATTTCTACCCGAATAACTCCAGTTCAGAGTGAGTGCCTAACTGAGAATCACTTCTTTCTGTTTTGACTGCCAAAGCACTGGCTAACACCCTGAATACCCAGAGCTACATTAACATCAACTCATTGCTGGGCCGAAGGAAGTAACTGCATCAGGGGCTGAGGGAAGCGCCACAGAGACCCACCAGACCAAGTGAAATGCTTTGACTGCTTCTTTTCACAAGATAAAATATGAATACATCAAAGGCTATGATAAAATACAAAATAAAAGAAAGCCTGTGTGGAACCAATCCGTTTCAATTAGAATGGAAACTAAGAACTGAGCTTCTACACGGATGTGAAGACAAAGTAGCTGTGGAGCATCTGCTCTAACTCTCAGTTTCTAGCTGTTTATTTTGATATCTGGGAGCATGTTTCAGCTCCACTTACATTTACAGGCATTTTCTTTCTTAACATCACCAACTGCTGAAAATAGATTGTGCTTGAAACAGCATGTATAAATCCTGTGTGCGGCGCTACGCATAAATATCAGTTTATTGTTAGGGAAAGCAGCTAAGTGTTGCGGGGAGCGTTCACACTACATTAGTACATTTTTAGTTTTTTTTAATCTAAAAAACTTCACTAGATTTGTTTCTTTGGTAGTTTTCTGTGTAATTTTGAATTTAATATAATTCAAAATTACACAGAATAATAATTACATGAATAATTACATGAATAACTTGCAAGAAAAACAGCTTCCTGATGTTGGTCTGTAAATAAATAGCAAGCAAACCATAAATAGCCTTGTAGATAAGAACACACCAACGAGCAAGTGTATACACAGACAAAGTTGACCAAACAACACTAGCTTTCAAAAAGCTGTGGCGAGTTAGAGATTTAGAATTTGCCATAATCCTCAGAACTCCATGATGCTGTATCTAATGCAAGAAAAAATTGTGAGGAAGCTTGTACATAAACAACATCACCATAATCCAGAGGACTCACACTGAGTCTGGCTAATCTGCTGAACTTTTCTTTCACGTAGTTTGTGCAGATTCCCATCCTCAAGCTTTTACGAGTGAAATACGGCTTTACATTCTACATTTATCATCAGTACAGCGGATATAAAGTGCTTATACAGGTTGTCTGAGGGGCCCTACTGCGGGGGACAGGGGTTTGGAGGTTCTTCTACTTCTTTATCAGTATAGTATTAGTCTTATTGTCAAAATAAAGACCCTCACCTGTTTTTCAGATGCTGGATGCTCCCGAGGCACTTGAAGCGACCGTTTACCATGATGGCCATGCGAGTGCATAAAGCCTCACACTCCTCCATGCTATTGAAGGGGACAAAAAACATTTTCACTGAGAAACAGAAAAAATATCTCATGAAATAAAAGATTTTTCTTTTCAACAACATCCATGTTTCAGACATCTTTGACATAATCTTTATCACTCTTTCACTTACTGACGTTTCGATGTACGTTAAATAACTCCTATTACTTTAAGAACCAAGTCATTTTGAGACCTTTTGTCCTATATATTCAAATATTATTGCTTTAATTATTTTACATGTCTAATGTGATATCTTAAGTGGAGGAAAAACTTGTAAATTACAGGGGAGAGACAGCCATCTGTGGTTCTTATCTTGTTTTTTCCCCCTCTCTGTGAAGGGCTGGAGCTCCAGCCATTTGTAGCCCAAGCATACCATTTGACGTATTTTTGAAGAATGGTGCAATTAGGACCACGGCTTTGTAAAACCCAGTTAATTTGCCACTTTACAAATCATAACCACCTGTTCATGCTATGGACAATTGGATGCAGCTCTGCTTCATTGCCTTGGACAACAACAAATGCTTTCAGGTCTCAGTGAAAGGAACACACATAAAAAGGGGAATATATTCCAAAAGAAACAGATCATTTTACTTGCGCTGCCGGAGAAATGTAAACAGAAATGTGCAAAAAGCTCAATTCTACATTTTCTATATCAACTGGGGTTTTATCATCTTTAGCAGAAATTGAGCATTTAATTTAGCTGTAAACTGCTTGGCAACACAAAAAAGTGAAAAACTTGGGAAACTTAAGTTTGCTTGAGGAAGCCTTGGATAATGAAAAGACTCCAGCACTGATATTGACAGTTTCTCTTTTCGAAGAAGAGAGAAAAAGCTCCAGTCAGTCAATATGCCCTCATGCCTCATGAAAGCTTTATAGCAGCTAGCGTGTTACTGGCATCCAATATCAACTGCCACTCTGGAAACAATACCTCTCCACCAAGTGCATCTCCAATCAATTATAATTACAATGTTTACAGCTCATATTCATCTGCGGGCAATTTGGTTGGTGTGCTCTCTCTGGTGAAGAATCAAAATATTTTGACTGGGTGAATCCTACAATGAGGAATCATTAGATGAGCGATTCAGCACCTGTGTGATGTGAGGATGACGGAGCGCCCCTCTTTGATGATACTGAGGATGCAATCCCACAGGAAGCGTCTGGCTTTGGGGTCCATTCCAGTGGTTGGCTCATCCTGCAGCGAAAATGAAATAAAACGTTTTCCCTAATTTTTATATAGTGCATGACTAGAGAAAAAAAAGAGTAATGTTTCCCTGAACAACAACAGTATTTATTCACTTAAATCTTAAACATAAGGTAAAGTAATTACTAAAAACACACACACATATACATACATATATACGTACATGTATATATATACACACAGTTCCTGGGAATTATTGACTATACCCGTGTGCACATTGTGAGGACACATATTGAAGCACAGTTCAGAGCAGCACAACAGACAGAGACATCGTGTCACTGCAGTTTCCTTTTCCTCAGGGCTAGTCTGTTCATACACGATTAGAAAGTGACAGTGCTCGGTCGGACTGCTTTCATTCCAGACTTTTTCACCAGCAGAATTCTATAAATCCCATGGTGTGTTTCTCTCAGCATACCCAACATGAGCTCGTAGAACCCAATGTGGCGCTGCCTCGAGGTCACCTGGGCTCCTTGCGCTGGCACACAGTACTCAAATTGACAGACAATAACAAAACATCATCCCACTGTCTCAACGTGAAGACTGGCTTAGCTGCAGTGAGTAGCAAAGGCAGTTTGAAATAAAGTTTACAAAGTGATCCAGTGACAGATGGGAAGATTACCCCATTACATGAAAATTATAGCAAATTATTCATTCCTGTATTAGGAAGGTCACTGTAAATTAAATTAAGTAATTTATTCATCAAACTATGCGATCAGCAATTGTTTGATAGTATATGATAATTGAAGCGAGTATTCTATTTATTTTGAGAAACATTATTTTTGTTTTTTCTCCAGGGATCTGCTGGCTGCAGGACATCTAAGGAATTTGTTCCTTTGTGTGCATGAGGAATGTTCTTTGAGCCTCGGTTAATTTTTATCCTCAAAAATGTATCTTCCAAAAAATGTAGCAATGTGTGTAATATATGCTTTCTGTGTTGACCTTAACTTTCCTCCTGCCAGCCACAGAAATGGAGTCTTTTATATGAACACAGTGCAATACTAGGTAGCATATGACTGCTGACAAGGACCTGAATGTGTCTGAAAATGACGAAAATTAAGTGCACCTACAATTGTATAACAATGTCTAACAAAAAAAAAAGACTTAGGGAAAAAATGTGTCAGGGATGTCTGTGATGGCATAAGAACTAATAATCATTCAAATCTAAATGAAAATGTTTAATTTAGCGAGAATCATTGTGAGCTTCAGGTATGACATGAGGTGATTATGGTTTTTCCCTGATGAAACCACATGACAATTTCCTAATACACATTAAATCCATTTATAATTGAAAGTACATTATGGAGTAAATTCTGATCCATGCCTTCATTATTCTTCCATTAGTGAGAAGATGTTCTTACCATCACTTTTAAATCCAGATGAATAAAATCTTAATACGTGCGTGTGTCCAAACACAGTTAAGTGTGCTCTATATTTTCCTAGAGAGGCTGATTATTTTCAAGAAATTAAACATGACCAATATGTGTTTGCTGGAAAGTATACCCTTTTCATCCATAAGTACAGGTCTTACAGGTCTTTTGAGAAACTCAGTGAACTTCTGAAAGTTTGATTGGTGTTCTGCTTTTACTGCTTCGTATAAATCACTTCCAATTCCTGCACTCTGATCCCAATACAGTCGGCGGACAAACAAAGAAAAAGCAAGCGATCTCTTTCAATCCTCACATCTGTTCCGCACGAGATTTGACTCAGTATTACACACTTCAGCATATTGCAACAAACCACATACAATTTATCAAGTAGCTGTAACTCACCAAGAAAATCACTGGGGGAGACCCAATCAGGGCTATTGCTGTGGAAAGTTTGCGTTTGTTTCCACCACTGTAGGTTCCAGCTGACTTGCTGGCATATTTGATCAGACCCAACTTCTGGATCCCCCACTCGGCCACCTTTTGAAGAAAAATGGCAAAGTTTACGCAGCATATACAGCAGCATTGGACTCAAGGTCTCATGGTAGATGGCATTTTGGCCTGGTTCTCCTCTGTATTGGAACACTGTGGTTTTCAAAGACAATGCATGGCAGCTGGCATAATTATTAGATTTTATTAAGAAGCTGCTGAGGGACTGATTGTTTCTCTCGCTTTTTCAACAGTGCCTCAAAAAAATAGGTGAATCAAAGCACCCGCGACGTGCAGGACACAGGCGCAGGGGGCCAAATGTTGATTTTATTTCTTTCACTTATTCAAAGGAAGCACTCATTTCCATTATATCCAAATCGAAAACCTGGAGAGCTTAGTATATATATGGACACTAGCACTGGACAAAAAAAAAAAACATATCCCAATGGGCCACAGCAGCATTGAGAGTTATGCTAGCAGTGCAGAACTGGGTCCCTTTGCAGTTCAGCTAGGACATCAAAGCCTTGGCACCAGGTCTGAGGCCTATGGTCAGTGCCAGCCCCTTCTGCGTTTGATGTTACTACTGCTGAAGCCGGCGGAGCGAGAGGAGAGCAGGGAGGCCGCCTAGGGCAGGCCACACCACTGGGCATTGTGAATAATGTAGGGCCATAACCTGCAGCTGCTGCTGTTCTTCCATGGGCCATTTTTCATTATGTATGGCTTCTCCCATTGAGGTTATCTATCACTCTGACATGTATTTCAGTTTGCCCTATGTGCATGTTGGCTGACATACAGTTTGATGCTGAAAATAAACAAAGAAAAAAGCCCTCTTGAAAGACACTTATAGAAAGCATTTGCTTGATTGCATATGTTTTTGATACTCTGCAGATTTATTACGCGAAACCACTGTTCCATAGATATCAGGAGGGAAGTTCAAGGAAGGAAGTAATTACCATGGCAACCTCTTTTTCAGGTACCCCTCTTAATCTGGCATAAAACTCCAGATGCTCTCGTCCATTCAGGAGGTCGTTGATAGCATCAAACTGTGGACAATAGCCCATGTTCTGGTGAACATTCCTCATTTCTGTTCGGATGCTGAGGGAGAAACACAAGAGTTATCTGACAATGGATGCTGTTAAGGTTAAATGTGACATAACTGAGGACTATACAGGTTTCTTTGGGGAGGTCAGAAAAAATGTCCAGATGACAGTGGACATGAGCATGTATGAATGTGAGTGCTATAAAGAAACATTAAGGCTGTTAACAAACAAAGAACAAAATAAGGGATATGCAAGAAGTTAATGACAAATTAGCAACAACTTCCTTACCCCAGAATGAACAATAACAATACAAATTGGCAAATTAAGATTTTTACTGCCTGCTAAAACGTATTCAGCTGTTTGGGTTTGGAATTTAAGTGACCATCACATGTTTTGTCTGTCTTCAGGCCCCAGTCAGGCTGCATGTTTCCAACTGGGGCTGAAAAAAGCTGTAAAATGAACGTGTGAATGGAAAAAACTTGTAAAGGTAAGGCATGCCAAGCTTGTCGGATCATTCCCAAAGAGTCTCCTCGCCGAAACTGTCAAAGCTGCCAAAGCTGCTTAAACCTTTTTAAATGCTTAGAGTAAGCCCTGAGTACTTGTGTAAATGGGGTATTTCACTCATTCGAACTTGATAAATTTGTATTAAAAAAATCATACTTCTAAAAAACAAAACAAATGTTTTGGCATGCCATGTGAAGAATTGTCTTGTGCTTGATGAAATACATTCAAGTCATTATTTTAAACTGAGTTTGAAGTAACCAAAGCGTGAAAAAACTTTCCATCTTCACTTAATAATACTGATCCTGAACAGTGCTGGTATGTGTGTGCCAGCCAATTAAGTATGTCAATTAAATGAGCCAGATCATCAGAGCTAATGCTACTTGAGGGAGTTTCTGCATGATCAACACTAGATTAGAATTAGCTTTATGGACGCTGCATGTTGTGACTGTCAGATGCCAAGCAGAAAGTGTCAATATTCAATAATATCTCTGTCCCTTAATGTTACAGCAGAACATTAATGTTACATCCTGCAACATTACAAACACTGGTGGACGTCATTGTTAAAATCTTTGCCTGATAAACAATTGCTCCACAGTCTGGCAAATGCACAACAGCTAAACTTATAACTGAACCTTTTCCCATTTTTTTTAGGTCTCCAGCTACACACCCACCAAGTACAAAATACATAGATTGGATGAAATTTTGTCAGAACTAAGGTAATCCACCTCCAGTGTCAGCTTAGGTGAGCCACCACCCACAACAACCCTGGTAGCTTCTTAAACCGTTTGACAGACAGTAACATCAGGCAGGAAAAAGAAGTCGCATGCAGGTATGAAACGTTTTTTCTTGTGAGTCCAAAATTACAGATAAGTGAGACAATTGTGAGGGGAGCAGAAACATCCGTTTAAGAGCTGCTGCTTTTTCTCTTCCACTGATCGTTCTTCTTGCCAGTTGCACAGAGAGAGCATAATGAGATGAAAACAGAAGAGTGGGTGTAGCCTGCTCACATCTGTTTTACTCTTTTCAGTTGGCTCCCCGAAAGGTCTTGGGGATTCTTTTTTCTCTGATTATTGTCACCCACATTTATCACCATTATCAGTGCTGTGTAAGGCCCTGATCTATGCAGCTCCCTTTCTTTTTTGGACATATAGTCAATTACCAGATGTATAAATGAACAAGTCTATTGACGGCGGTGACACACAACCATGCTCGGATGTGTTACCGTGGCGGTGCTTGTCGAGGCAAAAGAAAATAGTAGTTTTGTCTTAAAAATAACAAACAACAAGCTTATGTTTTTCTCAAGCACTTGACTTTAATATTGCTGGTGTCAATGTATTTTTTTTTCCGGGTGCAACGATTCTGTATGTCTTGTTTTGTTAGGCTGAGAAAAATATAAAAAAAGAAGAAAAACCAGCACCGGGTGTGGGGTGAGAATGTCAAATGGAGAGAGAAAGAGCAGAACAGGAGTAAAGAACAGAGTCTTCAGCTCAGGATATCATAGTAAAGACACAAAAGCAGAGACAGCAGAATGTAGAATAGACCTGTGAAAATATGTAGCTGGAAAAAACTAAACAAAACCAAAAAAAGAAAACAAAGACTGGGAAAAGAAAGCATTGTACCAGAGAACAGTATGAGCTCGCAACAAAACAGATTCGCCATCTGAACAGCCATCTTGGGTGGCTAATTAAGATGGGTTACTTGGTGCACTAGTGGGAGTTAGTGCCTCACCTGTATCCGTTTAGAAAGGCCTCTCCACTGGAGACTGGGATGTCCCCTGTCAGCATCTTGAACGTGGTGGTTTTTCCTGCTCCGTTGATCCCCAGCAAGCCGAAACACTGGAGAAAACAATAGGGAGGCATGTGTTAGAAAAACGATGTTTTAGAGAAGCGATCTCACTGGAAAACATATAAAGGATAACATTGTAAAGAAGGCCTCCAAAAGTATTGTGGAAGCACCTTTTTCCTCATCCCTTTTTAAATAGTCTCCATTGACAACCACAATGAAGTGTATGTCTGGGCTGTGCAAAGGTCTTTTCCCTGTGCATAATTGAAAGTACAATTTACTGTGTATGTATGGCTGGTTCATTGTTTTGAAAAATAAATTCTGTACACAAACAAAACAGACAGTAAATCAACACACTGGAGCAAATACTGTACAAACTATCAGTCCCAGAAGCCATTGTTCCCGCCTCTGTAAATTGCCACAACAAACACAAACCTGTCTTTGGGTTATTTTTTCCCCCGATACTGCTGATTTTACAAGTTCCACATGACTGGAAATTATCCCTGTGGAGCATCACCGTCATGTGACCTGCCTAAGGTACTCTGGCATAAATATTTGATTTCTGTCATTCATTGATCTCTGCTTGTTTGTGACCTGTGCTTGTGAATGCATAGAGGAAGGCTAAGCTTGATGTAAATAATGCATGGAAATGCAGTGTGTGATCAGCAAAGCCCTATGAATCACTATATTCCACTGCCATTTACACTGGGCTTTGAGTAAACACTGGCAGGGAGGGTGAATACCAGCGGAAGTCCCACCGAACACGAATAACTGTCAGCTTTTGATATTGTGTTTAAATCTGGCTTCCAGCAGTAAGGTTTTGGGGTGATGATGTTTAAGCCATCTGCAAAGCAGAACAAGTTATCATAAAGATGTTTCTTTAAAAAAAGACAATTGACATTTGTTTTCATGCACCATTATTCTGTAAATATCACTGTGAATATAATTTTATTCAAGTCATGGCCTCGTGAATTTAAGTATATTCATACAGCCAAACATTTTTTAATCAAAATGAAAAATAAAATAGCTTCACTTATGTGCTGGATTTGGCGTAAGTGGATGGAAGTCTTCCCAAAGGGACTCAAAACCCAAACAAATGGTTTCCCTGAAAATATGCGCTTGTGATCCAGTAGCATCTGGCTCACCTCTGCAGCAGGTACGCCCACACATAGCCGGTCTACAGCGGGGGTGCTCTTCCGAGGGTATACCTACAGTGAGCAGAAAATAAAATAAATCAACCAGCCAGTCAGAGCGAGGGCAGGAGGCAAGGAGGGGTGGGGAGCAAGAGTGAGGAATGTAGCCGAGTGGATGGCATGAGAAAATGCAGAGTGATAGACCAGAGCAGCAGGGAGGAGGTGAGATGGAAGAAGCAGGTGGCAGAAAGGAGGAGAGATGGCAAAAGTGGAGGAAACAAATTTGAACAAGAGCTGATAATTTGCAACAGTCAGAGCGAGCCAGATGGGAAAAGGCCATTTAAAAAAAAGTTAGACAGAGAATCTTAAATCAGTTTTTGGGACTTAACATTTATGAGGTAATCTTTCCGGAGTTCGATTCCAACTTCATCAGTCGCATTAACAATCAACACTCACAAGTTTTAAATGATTTTATGAACTCCAAATTCAGGTTTTTAATTGATAGTTTGATGCCTTTGGTGAAAGAAAAACATACTGTTCTGTAAAGTCTTTTCAACATAGTGCAAATGAGAGGGTGAGTGCTACTGCACTTCAGAGCCAGCAGATGGGTGAGGAAAGAGCTGCAGGTGAGCTAAAGCCATCCAATTTTAATTATGGCCAATCAATTGGCCTAATACAATACAGATCTGTGCTAATAAACAGACATCTTACTATCAGCTGAAGATAATACGCAACCCACACCGTCAGTTATGTCGTTAATAGTTTATTGTGTTGTTTGGCTCATTTTTAAAGGATCTTCTAACAAACTTTATTAAACAAATTGCTCCCACATGATTATCATCAGAGAAGGATCTTTAATTCAACTGACGATTACAGTCAAATGTCTATTGAAATTTGAAATCTTCATTTTCTACTTTTCAGGACCACAGACAGCACATGAAAGGCCAGATCACTGTTGTGAATGTTTTCAACTTGCAAATCACACTGACCATTAGCTCCCCATTCACACTCCCATTTGTGGAAAAGGCTTCTCTTCTGATCAATTTGGGGTATGTAAAACTTGCCAGATCTCAAAAATGACAAAAATTAGACAGTCAATTACCAGGTTTTTCTTGTTTGAAAATTTCCCTCATAACATTTCGGATACTGCCAAACCTCATTAACGTACATTCCAGCCATCTTAAATGAAGTCTCACCAAAGGCTGCTTGGAAACGTCAACATGTAGTGAACAAGATTTGTTATACAAGAAAACATATGACAGAATTAGGTATTTGGTGCTTGGGGTGGTTTTCCCCATCTAAAAATATGCAAGGGTTTGATAGGTTTTCAAATGGATAGAAAACCGTGTTCTCTTGCTCTCGCGTGGAAGATAAGACAAGGCTTTTGTTGCTGTTGCTGAAAGTGACAGTTCAGACATTCAGCATTCAAAATTGAGGACAACGCTAAGCCTCTCCAGGCTGGGAAAAACAGGTTATTCTCGTGTTATTTGAATCTCATGTGTTCTCCTATATGGTACAGTATGGTGTCATAACAACAGTTCATAATATGAAGCTCACATTGTCTGTATAGAATCTGTAAACCAGAGGTATTCCGTTAATGACGACGTTGATTCTAAAAGCTCTCATGTGAAGGTATATACCCACGCACTTGAAGTATGACAAAGAATGACTTTACATTTTTGCACAGTTGGCAAATCAAAGGCATCTGATTAAAGGAGGAGTTACACAGATCCAACAGGCTTTCTGTACCATCTGGCAGCCTTGAGTGCTTATCAACATGGATTATAAAATATTACCAATGAGTGATTGTTTTTTAGTGGTAAAGCTACATCAGAGCAGCAAATATGAATGGAAGTAAGCAATGAAATGATAACTTTCCCCCTGACCCAAGTACTAGTGTATCTATCATATTAAGCAGGCCAACTTCTAAGCAGCCTGTGATGGACTTGAACAGTAGATTTGGATTTGAGCCTTTAGCTCTGAATGATACTATTCTTTGACACTCAAACAGTTAAACAGTTAGCCTCAGCAATGCTTTGTCTCTCCACCACAGTCGTTACAAGACAGGACTGATTCACAAAATTGGTATATATATGTATTAATGTTAATTGAAAAACTGATGTGAGATTATTTTGCGAGTAAAAGGCAGACTTCATAATTCACTCAAGAACTCTCATTGGTACCATATCACGGCCTTAAATACACGTTGTCACATTTTCTGACCTGAAGCAGGTCCAGAGACCAAAATTCAAACATCAATCACAAGTTTGCTCAAAGCTGTCAGTTAAATGAGTTTCTGGAAGGGTAAAATGACAACGCTGGGATGAGAAAACGCTCACAGAGGCAAACAATGCGATAAAAGCCGCCACCCGTTACAGTGCAGATGCTAATGCTGCAGTTAAGTGGAGGCCAAGCAGGTGGGGCACATTGCAAACCTGACTGTTTGGAGCAGCATGAAAAAGATGGGTAGGACCAAGGATCTGACACATGATTGATGACCTGTCAATCGCTTCAGAGGCATGCTTAGATTTATGACAGGGTTTAGCTTGTGGCGCATGGCCACTGAAGCCATGCACTCATTGATCAATTTGTTATCTATCCCCCGAATGGATGGGGCACAGCTGTTATGGGAGTCAATGAGGGTATGGCATGAAGAATTTTGATACCTTATGCCAATGCTCTGCTGTTTCCGTTGAAATGGGCCGATGTGTCTCATCTCAGACACACTGTTAGCGGCAACAGTGTTTAACTGGTGAGCAGCTTTACGCCAACAGCAGTTCAATCAAATCAAAGGCATTCTTTGTTACTGTTTTAAAGCCATATTCAACTACTGTCTTTGAGCTGGAAAAATGTGGTCACAGTTCAGAGTTTGCTCATCAACCATTTGCTGAAAGAGGGTTCTTCCAACAACCCTCCCTAACTTTTCACCTAGTGAGATTTGTAATACATTAACCATCCAACTGTTTCACCCCGCGCTGGCTCGATAATTATCCCAGACAGTGTGGAGCACAACTGTGTGAGTGAGCAAGAAGTGAAAGATTGAATGCACTGAGACTGAGAAGACCAAGGGAGTTTAGGAATGAAGAAAGGTGGGAAGAAGCAAAAGGCTGTCAGATCCTCCAACTGTTGGCATCCAAGGTGCAAATCAGATGGCTGTCGTGACCGTTCCTGCTGCCACGCTGCCCACAGGGAGGGAGCATCTGCTGTTGGAGGAAACGCTAATCTTGGCAGTGTGAAGACGCACACACTGCTACAGTGTGCACAAACTATTGTTGAGAGGAGCCGTTTATGAGCACAGACCTTTGCACCTTAAAAAATAGGCGATCCTATTTGGTTCTCATATCCATTTAAAAAGATTCTGAATGTACACAGCTGCCAAACACATATTGTTTGACAATACTACTCTAAACCATTCACAGATTGACTAAGTATCTGTTCAATGATAAATTGAGCCTATGTAATTCTCTCTATGTTAAAATGCATTTTGTCCACTGCTCTGAGACGTGTATTAGAATCCTCAAGGGCGAGCATGAAAGCTAAAGTACAGGATTTAAGGAAAGAAAAAGTCTGAGGACAAAGTTCACCATACTGACACAAAGAATGAACAAGCTGTTTTTGTCACACATATGACATTTTTCCATTAATTCTAAAATACAATATCCCTTTCTGGATGAGGCAGCTGTGGCTCAACTGGAGGAATCATGGTCTAATGCAAATCAGACTGTCAAAGTGCAGTCGCCAGCTTTGGTGAGAGTAAATTGAATGTGTGGGAATATGGGTTGTTATTTTAGTGCGGTCATTATATACTTTGACATTCACAGAAACAAAAGAAAACATACCTTAGTTAGGTCACAAATCCTCAGCAGGTCATTCTGAGCTTTGCCCTTGTGCACTCGTTCACGCTCACGGGCAACATCAATGTCTTCTTTTTCTGTTGGCAATGCCTTTGCTGAAATAAGTCTGAGAGAGAGTGAGAGACATTGACAAAAAACTCTAATTAGAATGAAAAGTTACACAAAGGACACATTATCCATGCTAAAATTTTAACTCAGAGAAACATTCTCTATCATTTTCATGAATAGTGGAGGCCACAGCCATCAGTTTCTATGGCAACATTAAGTTTTTTAGACTGAACAACTCAAACAACTTATCTGGTAGATTGTTCAGTGCAACAGATGTTTTAGATGGCATTAAAAATGTGGTCACAGTTCCGAGTTTGCTCAACAAGCATTAGCGGAAAGAGGAGCCTTCCAACATCCCTCCCTAAATTTTCACCTAGCTAGATTTGTAAAACAGTAATGGTTGGATGGTTCAAAACAATACAAAAAAAAATGACAGGCCCACAATTCTTGACATCCACTTTTACCTGGGTTTGCAGAAAAACTTATACTGGATGAGCACTGTAAAGGCAAACATGACAATTCCCTGGATGGACATGGCACAAAGATTTTTCCCCACCATTTCCCAGCCCAAAGGGTCCTCAAAACGATCTTCCCCTGTTAAAGAGAGAAGGGGGACAGAAGAGAAAAAGGGACAAGAAATGGAAAATGAAAAAAAGGGAACAAAGTTAAAAAGTTAATACACACAAGCAGGTAAATTATTAAATGCATAATTGTTATGGTCTTTTAAATTTGATGTCAATTTCTACTCCTTATCCACAAGCTCAGGGGGTGATTTAGCAAAAACATTGTCACAACAAGAAGATTTAACCTTGTGTTTTCTTTCATGGGGAGCCAAATATGTATTTTAGCTTAGTTTTGCCAGCTCTTTGAAGTGGCATGTTTATTGTTGAAAGCCAACAGTTTAAATTCCCACTTGGACTAAAGCTACAAGAATTAAAATAGCTGTCACCTCTGTCATAAGAAGACATTGTGGACATTTTTTATTTTATTTCTTAAATACTGAAGCCTTCTTTGGCTAATGAACACAACAGTAATGCAGTTAAAGCCCTCCACAGTAACACTTTAAAATCTCTCTTTTTTTTTTCTCCTCCTCTTATCCTCTACAACCCTCGAGCCCGAGGGAAGAGAGTACGGAGACAAGAAAAACGAAAACGCTTTCAGTCTCATTCTCCGGTAAATAGCCCTTCTCCAAGCTAGCCCTTTTAAGTTGTGATTGCTTTTCTCCCCCTGCTCTCGACCGCCGCAGCAAATGATTCCTCAAACCGCTATTTCCTGCTCCATCTCTCGACAGATAAGACTCCACTTCCTCTTTCATGTGCCTCTTTGCCTCTTGATGGCCTCCTCAACCCCCAGCTCCACCTCCACAGTTGCACTCCCACTCTGCTCCGTTTTTTCCTGTCTAAATTTAACTCCTGTGGAAGGAAGAGCTCTAGAAGAGGTGTTGGACCCACGTTACTGGTCAAATATTTCTCCTACCCATTTATTTTGAATGAATAGTATGTTGTCACTTAAAACAAGGGCAGGGTTGAGCTGAACGTTTCTTTTGGGAAAGCCAGAATGATTTGAGAGCCCATGTCCCATGTCGGTTACTGGTTAGACATCACAGCTGATGGAACAGAGCATGAGCAAAGAAATGCAGCTCTGCACCTATGCACGTATAAAATATAGCAGTAGAAAACAAGTTGGTAAATATGGATACCAATAACACAGGACAGAAAAAAATCTTATAGTATGCATATCTTTAATGAACAAACATTCTAAGATTCTGTGAATTACTGATAGATGTTGTACCTTACAATAAAATGTTTTTGTCAGACATGGGGGCATGATAAACTGTCAGTTTATAGCTTTACCCAACTTATCACTTTTTGCTATTTCACAGGGCCTGTTTTTCCTCACTTTGTTCCCCCCTCATATCAGCTGGCTAATGCCCTCCATTTTGAGTGTCTGTCTGAGGAGGGAGTTTTCTTCCCACTTTCCCAGGTGCAGTTCAGTAGGAACAGTTTGTCTTGTCTTTACACTTTGTGGAGGTTTACATTTGAATCATGTTCATGTGTTATTTATTAATAAAAGAAGGAAGCTCTGATAAAAGAAGGTGTCAGTTCCACACAGAGTGCGCCGCTCTTTATGCTTTGTGCTATTGATTTAAAGGTTCAGAATACCAGTTTGTACTGCAACAGAGAATCTCAAACTGTCTGTTCATCCCTCATTTTAAAATACAGCTTGAAAATATGATGCCAAGACAGTAGTCTGCTCAATTTCTTCATTGTCTGCCTGAGTTCTATGACATATCTTACCAAAATTGCTGAAGAGCGTTGCCATTGCCTGGTTCTTGGCCATGTCGATTAACCCTCTGCCCAGACAGAAATGTGGGAAAACAAGTAGCACCTGCTTCACTATCTCGTTGATGCGGGAGACATTCTGTTGAGGAAATGAAAACCAAAACCAGGAGACAAAACAGATGAGATGCAGCTGGAAGTTTGAATTTCAAAGCCTTGATGGAAATCGGATTTCAGAAGCCCAATATGATGAATATCAATCCAAAACCAGCAGGTCCAGAGGCATGAGAGGTTTAAAGGACAGAGTGGATAATTAAAAATCCTGTTCTCTTTTTATGCTTTGGTTCCTGTTGTGTTGCCAAATGCAAGGCCCAGGAAGCACAATGCATCGTGGTTCATCTGCTGACTTGATGGTGGATTCCAGTGAACATTAGGGAACACTGTGGGATGTGTGTGTGTGTGTGGGGGGCATGCATACTGTAAAGTATGTGCAAACACAAATGGATCAGCTGCTGCTCAGGGAAACAGATGTTCGTCCTCACAATCCTAACCGCAGTTGGAGGGAGCATCCACAAACCAAGAGAAAAGCAGTCTGCCTCTTTTCTTACCATAAGGAATCTTTCATCATGGGAAAAATACACAGTTATACAATGCAAAGCAGTTTTTCTGCACGTATATATGGAAAAAAAATTTTTAAATGATGGCAAACACTTGCTGGTCTCCAAAATGTTACTATTTATGTTTCCAATTTCTTTGCTCATTGCTACGGTTTAGAGGCAGTGAATGAGGAAAAAAGGAATAATTAATCAAAATACAGCTTGGACAGTTGAACATGATTGTGGCAATCCAATGTAGATAAGTTAGAGAGCATAGCAGTGCCAAGCGAGGTTAAAGAAATAGAAGAACACTTGGCATGGTGTAGCGTTCAGATGAAAATTCATGCATCATTCAAAATACTCCATTGCAGCACAGTCTTCTGGGCTCCCACATACACAGAGTAAGAAATCCAAATTTCTGCTTTGGGTGAGCCTGTGTCAAGATTATATGGGTTAGGGTGCAACTTATTGACGCTGGACACAACATTTCTAGACATCAGCCATTATTGAGTTTAATGCAACTGTGCAATGAAACTTATCTCCATGGCTGAGTTTTCTTGAAGTGACTCTACGAATACACAAAGCCCGTCAATACTCAGACAACCATAACATTTGTTTTCCTCTCCTTGACCTCTGTACACTCCTGAACACATGTAAGTTTAAAGCGTTGAAATCAATGTCCTCTCTTTGAGGTAAAATAAGTATTGCTCAAGATCAAAAGTGGGCAAATGCAAGTTTGATCATTTTTCTCAAGTGGGTGGTCACTGGCTTAGTTCCTCTGAGGCAGATATGAGCCAATGATCAAGGGCCTCATTGATCATGATGTCAAAGCGAATCTTCAGATCAGAAGCTTGAATTCATTGCTCCTTTTATCTACATTTACACATTTGATTGAATAATGAAAAGGTAGAGTAGGGAGAACTGTAATCAAAAGTAATGCAGTCAAAATAAATATTAGTGGCAGAGAACAGGAGATCCATGAACCTCTGCTCGTACCAACTTTGTTCTGGTTAATATTCTCTGTTTTTGTCAACGGCAGTATGTACATATTGATAATAACATTTTTTAAGCACACATTTGCATGAAGTATAGTATTTGCTAAAAGGCATCTCTGTTGCATGCATTCCCTACAAAGCTCACACCAAGACAAAAAAGCTGAATAAATAAACAACAGTTTTGACCTCGGCTGATAGAAGCTCCTCTTTCTGGCAGTAGGATGCAAAGAAGGCAGAAACTAATCTAAGATCAAACTACGAAAATAGCACATCTTATCCAAGACATGCAAGAGGCTTAAAGTCAGGAATGATGGAATGCTGGACAAGCTCTTCTTGCATTTAAACTTTCCATCTATAAATCATTTTTTGAAAGTGGTGAAATATACTTCATGCTTTTCTGACCTACATCGTGTCTTGTCCTTATTCCCACTACATGGCTCTATCCATAATGTCAGGGATCACAATGAAAGCCCATAAACAAAATGTATGGCTCTCTAATCCTGTCAAGACATTTAAAGTTGAATAGAAACAACTAGACAAACTTGTGTTTCTTACGTTAACACTGATATTTAGTAAAGTAGGGCATTTCTGGTCAGTAAGTGATGCTTTATCTGGTACTCAACGTGAAGAACGTAGTGCTTAACCATACTGCCACACCTTTACCTTTATCCCCACAGAATCTGGGGTTATCTGAGTGGCACATGGTGGATATATTGACTCAGACACTGCTTCAAGCTTACAAGGCAGACTGAGATTGATGCAATCCGCGGGGAGTTGGACAGTCCAGAGGGGAGGAAAATATCCCATTGGTTTCCAGACAAAACTAGGGCACCGACTAAAACCTAAAAAGTGCTGCTCTGCTTGCTCACTATTTTTCTCCACATTTCCTCTCATTGAAGAATATTGCTATGCCCAAAAGGGATCTGGATTCACCCTGAGCTCGAAAACAGACAACGTGCTGAAGCCTGTAGATTTACTTTTCAGTGACTAATACCACAGCTGAGGAGTCCATAAATGATGAGATCAAGCTTTGAAGCAGCAGAAGGAACGGACTGGATTGAGCTGTCATCTACCCTCTGTGCTGAACTGAAGCAGATCGGTTCGCTGTCATAACTGCTTCATCTACTCTGTGAGGATTCTGTTACCAAGAGGTATAAGCTCTGCGTTTTAACTTTTGTGGATTGATGACGATTCCATGGGCTTTCCTATCAGGAGTGAAATCAAGGTTGATTAGCAGAGTTATTATGGACGTCTGTCCCCGTCGACTCCTACAGAAGCACTACTGCTGTCTCAAACAAGAAGGGCGTCCTGTAAATCCACCCTTTTACGCTGCCTGCAGGCGACATGGCGCCTATTAAATTATCAACAACGGCACCCTTTATGAGCAATATGCTCCACTCATACTGTATTAATAAATAAAAAGAGCGCAGGCAAGGAAAGGGACATGCCAACTGGAAAACACAAATCGATGATGAATGCCGTGTATAATGACATCACAATGCAGATGAGGCTGCCTTGTTAGGAGAAAAGAAACATCTCCTGCCATCGCCGAGCAGTGCCAGAGGAAATGTAAAGATAAAGGCACTCGTGTCTGAGAGGACAAACTCTGCAGAAATGAAGTCTTTCAGACAACATTAAAATGCGTCTGGAGTATGGGAACAGGGCTGTGGGAGATATTCTGATGAAGCATCAACTGGATGAGCAGCTTGTCAGAGTGATCAGCTATTGTGTTTGTTGACAAGGAACGACTCATCAGCACAAAGTTGAAAAATTAAAAGTGTAAAAACAGAACAAAACAAAGCGGTATGGGTGATGTATGCTAACCATGTAAGCAACTGTTTACTGTTCAAATCAAACACGATATATTTAGTTCAAAGAACAGAAAGAATACGTAAAAAAAGAAGCTTATATAAATAATTTTCCTTGTTATTCTCATGTCCTGCTATTAATAGTCTTTAGATGCCACGTTGGAATCGGCCTAATTTTTTCCCCCCATGTATTTTAATTTCAATGAGAAATGAAAGTAAAATGATTGACAGTCAGCATCCCCCGCTCTTCCTCTCCAAATGAAGCTCTCCATTTCTTATTTAGTTCATTTTTGGTGTCTTTGTCTTTTGATTCCTCTGTGACTGAAGCAGCTTGGAGTTAAAATGAACACTTGCTGAAAGATGGATGAGGAAAGTTCTCCGAAGACCCAATTCTCAGCAAACGATTAAACATGAAAGAGAATAGGGAAAATAACTTCTTTGAAAATTCCTTGAGAGGATAAAGGAACAGTATTAAGTTATACCAGGTGGGTACACACTCCACCCACGTGTGTGAATAAGGCTTTGCTTCAAAAACGCAGAGCGTTTATCTAAGATGCAAGTCAATTAGTCATGGACTATTGTAACTTGTACATCAATAAAAATTTCAAGCATCTGAGGGAGCCTAAAAGCCAGTGCCTATCATTTCGGAGGGGAGTGTGTCCTCAATGATGAAAAAAAAAGAAAAAAAGCTTGTATATATACATATGCTTAATATTTCATTTAATGCATGGCAGCTCAGACCAGTCGTTGGAACATCTGGCCATGCCCCACGCTTTCAGGACAACTGCTGAGTCCAGTGGACAGCCACTGTGGATCCAACTGGTTTCGGTAAATCCTGCAAATGCTCATATATATTTAGTAGGTCAACTGTCAGTTCCTCTAGTCTCTGTCAATGAGGTGAACGCCGTTGGCTCCTTAAGCTCCATAAATCATTCCTTGTTAATGTTTATCATAGAATTCCATTGCGATTCACAGTATGCTCTTTGTGCACTGCATTCCTTATGTTGAAGATAGATAGGTTAAAGTGGCATGAACATGGACAGGGCCCTTCTCTACCACACAGAGCACTGTGTCATAACATCACCAAATTCAAGTTTCAGGGATTATAATAATTTGAAATGAATATCATAAGGAGGACTGTTCCAAACAAATGTGTGTGTCTGTGTGACATTTCACTCACATCATCATCAAAGAGCTCCATTATGAAAGTGGCCACGCTGCCGTTGACACCAATAAAGAGGTTGATGCAGGTCAGCACCACATAAGCTGTGCTGGGCACACTGAAGATGAAGGAGGCAGGGTACATCATGGGGGTGATGGCCCACCTAAAGGGAATAAAACACACAAACTGAGACAACAGATAATCCAATTATAACAAACAATTGGTTGAATTTAATTGACAGAAGTGGGTGAAGTGTGACATCATGGTGGGTTTCTAGTGATACTACCTGGCCCTCCTCCAAAAATGTGACCTTTAGATTTGATATAAAGAATGCTCTTTCTGGTTTTAATTCCAGTCTCATCTACAGAAGTTCAGATGCACATATTTATTTTCAACTTCATGATATTTTTCCCCATATATCTCGCTTTGCGGTACAAGTTTTTTCATCCAAGTTTAACCTGTGTGTATGTCACGTCTCATTATTCACTTTACACATAGTTGTTAAAGTCAGTCTTTAGACAATGTGTCTTGAATGGTGATGCGTACTGTTTACTCCAGTACAACAATCACTTCAAAAATTTTATGAAAAATTCAATAAAACTGTATTTTTGTTAGTGCTCAATGAACTGTGTGTCAGCATTGTGTGTGAATGTCAATTAATGCTTCGACAAAAATAGAAAGACAAGTTTACACTGCAGCCACAGTAGAAAAGTTTCTTAATTATTTGATTTTCATAAAGATACAGTGACCACTTCTTTTTTAACTTAATCAAATGTTCAACTTGAAGTGGTCCACAGCGGCATAACATTTTGCCAGACATTTGCTTCTTTGTTTCATTCCCATGGATGTCATTTTAATTTGAAATTTAATAATCAAAACATTTTTTTTTTCATTATTAATGGTAATTTTTTAGTGGCTTAAAAGTACAAAATGTTTCACAGATTATAGGGAGACATTCATCTGTGCAAGAGATAGACTGTAAAGCTCACTGGGCACAGCGTTTGCCATAAATTAAATGAGATGCGATTTGCTTGTCATGAGTGATGGGTCTTAACAAGGGTATCCTCCTCCGAAAAATGAAACAGTACATTCTTTTCACAGCTTTCCACTGAAGTTTTCATGTAAGAATAAATAAATCTCCAATCAGTTGTGGTTTTGTGCATCACATGGCTCTGCTGTAAAGGAAAAGGCTGTCAACAAGAGCTGCTTTTGCATACGAGTGAGGGTGGCACCAATTATCAAAATTGTCTACACCTATTCCGATATGTTTACTTTGTGCAAACAAGTGATAAGGAAATAAAACAGCTTGTGTCACTCACAGAGGAAAAACAAAATAACAAAATGTGAAAGTGATTCTCGAGTGATAGCACAATAGATAAATGGGACATTCTGAATCTGAGTATATAAAACATAAAATGATTAAAGCGAAACGTTTCTTTAAAAATGTCAGCTCATTTGAACTTTTTATTTACATTTTACAGCATCTTAACATCATGGAGCTGATGTTACCTCAAATGTTCTTACCCATAGAAAACAAGCAGGAGAATCAAGGCAGGCAAGTTAGGAGGGGAAACGTAGGCCTTTTGTTGAAAGCATAGGAAGATCGCAATCACAATCAAGCATGGGATGATGTAGTTACACTGTCAAAAAAAGCAGACAGAAAAGAAGTCTACAGTCAGAAGAAGACATCTGTGAGTGGTTAAGCTTTCAGAAATATGAAATGCTAGGTAATTATCAAATCTGAAGATAACTTTTCCCATTAGCACTTGGATGAATCCAGCGACAACTACAGCTTTCTATTTCATTCACTGATAAAAATGTTAAAAAATATACCAAATCTGAAAACTTTTGTATTTGTTGAAATCAATTAAACTGCCAAATACACAAGGAAAAATTGATTTTTACATTTATAATTCCCCCCCAAAAAGGAACAGATTATAATATTTCTAAACGTTGGATAAGTGTTCTTTGAAGAACTAATTAGATTCCATAAAAAGAATTAAAACAGTGATTTGTATATTTACTGTTGAAAGAAAATGTTATAGCCACATTATAGCAACATTATAGCCCTTCACTACGATATCCTTTCCTATTTTTGAATGCACATTCATGATAATGGAGCATTCTTTGGCCTAGAATGCTTAAACTGATTCCTCAGGTGAATTAGTTTTCAACTCAGACAGCATTTATCCACCATAATGATGGGTGTCCTGTTGCCTATTTCTTTACCAAAGGTGCCTGATGAAATGTTTACTTCCATTATGCCTGAGGGAAACTACCGGTAAGCCTGTTGAGCATAACCAGCAGGGGCAGCTGCTGTCGATAATTACGCCTCAGTCAATAACTGTTTTTCAGGTGAAGCTCTTCTCAGCAGCCAGCAGTGTCAAAGCTGCATTATCAATTACAGTGGATGGATACTTTTCACCTATACGCTCGGGTGGAAATAGAATCTTCAGGATAATCGTATAGTAGCGCCAAAGATAAATCGAAAGCACTAAAAACTTGGATACATAACATTGTAGCCTATATTTAGGTAGATTCAGAGATTCTAGCAGTGGTGGGCCGTCAGGGCCTGCAAGGCCTTCTCTGAAGGCCTAAGAAAATATCTGAATCACAGACTGATATTAATGATATTTTGTCCATAAAAAAGGTATTAAATATCTCTAAATAGTCTGTCAGCTTCCTTTCATAGCTTTCCCCCTGGTTGTGCTGCTTCCAGACATGTATTTTCATATAAAAGCATTTAACCAATCACATTTCAGACATCCTTTGTCGCTAGGCAGGGTCAAAGTCAAAGATGTCTGCCTGGTGGCCTTCACAATCCGTTCTGCAGGCCCCCCCCCACAGAAAATACATGTCGAGTACACTGTTGCTTCAACCAATCAGATGTTAGGTTGGTGATGCCAGGGCCTGCGCGAAGGCCCCGGAAATGCCACCGTACCCACACCCGCTGATTGGATAGTCAGATATCCAATCAGGGCAAAGCTAGCAAACAAACCGAAATATAGTTGTGTTAGTGTAATAGCTATTTTATTATTTCGTGGTGGATTTACTGTCAAGACCATTTTCAAAACGGACTTTTCAAGAAAAGTAAGTGAGTAAAAAGTTGTTTTTTTCCTAAATGGTATTGCGAGTTTATGAGGACATTATTGATGTTTTTGTTTTTTGTTTTTTTTTTGGGGCGGGGGGGGGG